AACTTGAAGGTGTAGGCAGGAACGGTACCGCATTCGGAGATGATTTTAGTGACAGATTCAATGAGGAGCTACAAGGATGATATTGATGGTTCGACACGGCTTCTTTTGGAGCTCAGATTTGACGTGCGGCTTATTGCGCTTTCGCCTGGTCACCGGGATGATTCGACAGAGACATTCTCTTCGCAATCTCCTGCGACATCGATAGGAGACACATTGTTTTTCACGTACAACATACCACTACATTTTCGGTCCCACACCAGATTCGCTGATTATATGGAACATTTCGGTAAGAGTCTTGATATGCGGAACGGAGATAGGAAATTATGAGAGCAAGGAGAGGTTCTGGAGAGGAAATAACAGTGAGCAAAGATGATCGGAGGTATGTATCAACGGAGCATGACTAGCAAACACGCGAGACGGAGGTATTATATAGCAGAAATCATCAAAAAAGTTGTCTCGTGTACATGAAGTTCGAAGGCTTTTTGGGGACCCTTGAAAGCCTATTTAAAAGTGGAGTGGTCTTACAACCTGATCGCATATTGCAACGGGTTCCTCAGTGTGGAGCGAGGCGGAGGCGAATGGCGGCGATGGAGACCTCAATCAACGCTCATTGGCTGAGGGCAACGCCGCAGAACTTCGGCTTCACAACACCAAACTATCACTTTGGACACAACCACCATTGACGCCGACACGGTATATACTCGCGCGTCGCCATGGCGAAGAAAGGTATGCGAAATCCCTGCAACTTTAGGACATGCCCAATGCCGCCGTCCTACACCCTCCATAGCTGGTCAACGTTCCCCCGCGCCTGTCGCAAGTTTGCACCGTATATGCGCTGACAGCAGCGGTCTACAGCAAAGTCCCGTACCATTATGGTACGCCTCATATCAATGGCAATGACAGGATACTACCGAACCATGCAAAGGCCGCGCGCCCACCAGCCACTGAGCATGCTTAAATACGATCCCATCGGTATGAGACCCTCTCTACTAAGAACTCCAACGACAAGATTAAAGCCACCGCTCCTTGCATAATGTTCCCTCTAGTATTCCCGACATGTACGCCAGGAAGGAAGCTTGGGAGCTACTTTGAGGGCAATGCGATGGTCGAATGATGGCTGATAAGCTGGTAGTTCGGAAACAAGTCCTTTTCCTTGAAGCTAAACGCGGCAAGAAATAATATCACACACCATACACGATACCACCGCATGCGATACTTCTACAAACAATTTGGGGGTGAAAATATTGACAGGATTCTCGCATGGAGTTGCAGGGGGCGGACGCCGTGGATTGCCGCCTGCTCGCGACACAGGACCCGGCGACCGTGATACTCATCTGGCTGTTCAAAGCCTCATACGAGGCCTCATACGAGGCAAGACAAAGCCTTGTGCACTTATGTACCAGATATTCGCATGGGCTGGCGTTAGATACAGCACATGCATACATCAGAACAACATGTCTGACATAAGACGTATCTCATTTCCCGTTTATATCTATTGCTTTATCTGCTCATCGACATCCACGTGCTCAAATTCGCGTCCCGCAATTACCTCCATGCTATTCCGAGCCTCTGCACCAACTAGCTTTTGTGACACACCGAGACGAGGTTATCCGCCAAGATCAGAGCTCCGCTCCTCTGCTTTCATCGTCTCTTGGCTGGAGCTAATCTGGTCGACAAGTCTCCATCGTGATGCCGGCTTACCCGACTAGGCTGTGCCGACTTCCTGGAGACTTGGACTACGTAACTCGAAGTCTTTTCCTATACCCAAATTCCCCATCTATGTGGGAGCCAAGGCTGGGTCGAACGTGCTGGGGAAAGGTGGAGTATGTTTAGTCTTGGCTTTGGCGTGCATCTGGCAAAGGTTTCGAACTAGCAAAAGCACATTGTCGTATAAAATGACAACGACTAGCGCTTTTCCCAATCCTTATCCGACTGTGTCTTGATTGCCTTTCAAATTTTCAAGATGGATCCCGGAAAGTCAGTTGAGAAACGTTCCGAGCACTTTCCTGATACCCGCATCGATGATGTAGACTATCACCAGTCTCAACCCCTACCCCAACGATTCATCGAGCAACAAGAAGCAGCAAAGGAGCCAGAACCAGCTCCAGGTCTGTTCCCCAAACTCGGTAACTTACCAGAATGGGACGTTCCTGGACATGGTCGCCTTCAAGGCAAGGCACTCAACAACGCCATCGCTTGGTGCTCGTGTCTCGCCTTCCTCATGTTCGGATACGACCAAGGTGTTTTATATGGTGTCTTAACTCTCGATGACTTCCAGCGTCACTTCCCTCTCATGACATCTCGAGAGCGCCAGAACAACTTGTGCTGGCTTGATGCACCAACCAACACCATACCCAACCCGGATATGTGTACGGGAAGCCCGAGCATCCTCTCAGCTGCCGTCGCTGTATACCAAATTGGATGCTTTCTAGGCGCGGTTCTCATCCTGTTCTACGGCGAGGTCTGGGGCAGGAAGAGTAGTAGTTTTTGGGGAAGTCTAATCATGATCATCGGAACTATACTGCAAGTTGCGCCTGGAGGGGCCAATGGTGGTAATTCTGGAGCCTATGCTCTGCTTTGTGTTGGACGTGTCGTAGGAGGAATCGGCAACGGGATGGTCACAGCCAGTAAGTAACGAGGTTATGACATGTCTGTCCAAGAGGCTGACATTCATACAGCGATACCCACCTGGCAATCTGAGTGTGCGAAACCCGAAAAGCGAGGACGCTTGATTATCACATCTGGAGCGGTTATTGTGGCTGGTGTTATGATCTCATACTGGGTCACTTATGGCTTCTACTTTGTACCATCAGGCGAGAGCTACAGCTCTGTTCGGTGGAGGTTTCCGATCATGTTCCAATCGTTCTTTACCATTCTCGTCATGTATGTCCATCTTCCAGCTTCAAATCGACCAAAGCTAATCTTATACCAGGATCGCTCTTCTCTACTTGCCAGACTCACCACGTTGGCTCGTCATGCGCGGCCGCTACACTGAAGCTCGCAAACTTCTTGCTCGTCTTGCTGGCGCACCTATCGATTCCGAAGAAGTAGAAACAGAGCTTACCAACATCATTGATGCGCTCGAAGCGCAAAGCAAGGACGGCCCGTTCAAGATGAGGGAACTCTTGCATAACGGCCCGAGTCAGAACCTTAGACGCACTACACTCGGTGTCGTATCGCAATTCTTTCAACAAATTAGTGGTATCAATCTCATTGTAGGTACCCATCAGACTTCCATCTTGATTCGCATACTAATCTCACCGTTTCAAGACATACTATGCCACCTACGTCTTCGAAAACTCCCTGGGTTTCGGTCCAGACATGTCTCGCCTTCTCTCCGCCTGCAACGGAACCGAATATTTCCTCGCCGGTCTTATCGCGATACCCCTAATTGAACGCGTAGGACGTCGCAAACTCATGCTCTTCGGCGCCCTTGGCCAAATGGCCAGCATGGCCATCATGAGCGGTATGACCTCTACCGCCACACCCGACGAATTCGGCGCCCCGATCTTAGAGCCGCGATATGGCATTACGGCTGTCATTTTCATGTTCGGCTTCAACACCTTCTTCGCCATCGGCTGGCTCGGCATGTCGTGGTTGTACCCCGCCGAAATCACTAATCTGCGTATTCGCATCCAGGCGAACGCGCTGTCCACTTGCTCGAACTGGCTCTCTAATTTCCTCATCGTTATGATTACGCCTCCGGCTTTTGCTAACTTGTCGTATAATACGTATACGATGTTTGCGGTTTTCAATGCAGCGATTGTACCGAGTGTTTATTTCTTTTTTCCGGAGCCAAAAGGGCGCAGTTTGGAGGAGCTGGATGTCATTTTTGCCAGTGCGAATCAGATGGGGGTTAGTCCTGTGAAGAGGGCGAGGGAGATGGAGAAGTTGGTGGGGAGGGAGTTGGATGAGGAGATTGCGAGGTTTTTTGGGGGTGATGTGGAGGAGATTAGGCGGAGGAGGAGCAGAACTTGAGAGATGGTAGGAATCTCGATGCTGAGGGAGGCGTGCGGGTGTATTGTTGTGATTTTGATGTGGTCTTGGGCGGTACTTCTTTTCTTCATGCACTTTGCCAGTATAGTACCCAGCCACCTCGACACGAGTTTCCGGTCAACGGCAAGATTGTACCGAGACGGCTTAAGTTGAGAACATCGGACCCATGCATCACGAATTGTACCACCGATCGCATAGGCACCATGTCGCGATAATGGATGGATGGCGACCTGCCGACTGCAGCTAGCGTTGCACACCGGCAATATCGCTGTCGCGTGGGGCTTGCGGCCACTTCTCCTCTTTTGCAACGGTCCAACACGCCACAACGCCTTTCACTACATCCCGACATTTAAGTTGAAGCTACAACTATGACGTTGATAAGCTTTCCCCGGCTCACCGAACGACTTGGCAAGAGGCCTTATTCCGCCACTACGCATAGCGAGCTTCTTATTTGGGTAAGGTGCGTGATTTGATGTGCGCAAAACTACATGGGCCTCGCGTATAGCATGTTCGACAACATTGGGGAAAATGCGAATGAGTCGTCACTCCCCTTGCCATAACGAAAGAAATATTCCAGAAAGCAGTTCTGATGGGACGGAGATGTTGGGGCACTGGTTGGATTTTCGACACGCTGTTGTTTGTCCTGCATGGATAGTATTGTCCGGTGGCACAAAATCCAACCCCGGCAACTAAGTAGTATGGTTGTCTTAACCCATAACTCACAGGATCTTCATACTCGTGTTATCCGGCCAATCGCAATAAGCAGCCTTGCTTTGCAGTTGCCTCATTTAGATTAATCTACTGTACGGCTACTTACGGATCGCATTTGGCTCCCATGTAGTTTGCCCGCGATGCAGTGCTCTTCCTAGCAAAAACATCTCATGTTATTAAATGGCTTAGCTTCGTACGAATTCAGCGTATTTAAGAAGGCCGAGGGGAGCGGCCTTCTCGGCAAGCCCACTGCTCAAGCCTTGGTCATTCTTCTTCACGACAAGCTTTTCACCATGGCGCGCTTCACCCAGATCGCTGCCGTCTTGGCAGCAGCGACGCTCAGTCATGCCCGCAAGCCATTCATCACTGAGCGTCAGGTCCCTGCGGACCCCACTGGTGTCACAACCATCAAGTCTGCCCAGGGCGCCGAGATTCGCTACAAGCAGCCTGGAAAGGCGGGAGTTTGTGAGACTACTGAAGGTGTCGACGACTATGCCGGCTACATCAGTCTCAATCCTACTACCAATATGTTCTTCTGGTTCTTCGAGGCGCGTGAAAACCCTTCCGAAAAGCCGTTGGTAAGTCAAAACTATACTTCTACTCAAAATTTGGTAGCAGATGTTAACTTTGTCTTTAGACACTTTGGTTGAACGGTGGACCAGGAAGTGACTCACTCATTGGTCTCTTTCAAGAACATGGCCCATGCAATGTTACTGAAGATTTGAAGACACAATTGAATCCTTATTCATGGAATGAGCACAGCAACATGCTGTATCTCTCACAACCAGTTGGTGTAGGCTTTTCCTACGAGACCACGGAAACCGATGCGGACGGTCGATACTCGCTTGTTGATCCTGACACCGCAAACACTACCGATGCTGCAGCCATTGGTGCGTGGCACATTCTCCAGGCTTTCTTGGACCTGAGCCCCCAGCTCGACCCGGATATCACTAACTTTACTTTTAATCTGTGGACTGAGAGGTTAGTACATTTAGCAATAAGACTAAGAAACATTTTACTAACTAGTATCTAGCTACGGAGGTCATTACGGCCCCGGTTTCTACAACTACTTCTACCAGCAAAATGAGAAGATCAAGAATGGCTCTTCCCCTGGTGTCGAGATTCGCATGGACACGCTCGGTATAATCAACGGAATCGTCGATGAACAGATCCAGGCCCCTTACTACCCCGAGTTCGCTGTCAACAACACTTACGGCATCAAATCAGTTAACGATACAGTCTACACCTTCATGAAGAACGCCTACTACATGCCAGAAGGCTGCCACGACCAAATCGAGTACTGCAAGCAATCCGATCGTACCACACAAGACGGCTACCTAACCTGTTCATCCGCAACCAACCTCTGCCGATCCCTCGTCGAAGAGCCCTACTACGCATTCGGCGGGCGAGGCGTCTACGACATCCGCCACCCCTACGACGACCCCACGCCCCCGGACTACTTCCAATCTTTCCTGAACCTCGCCTCAACGCAAGAAGCCATCGGCGTAAACATCAACTACACCAGCACCAACGCCCGCAACGTCTCCCTCGGCTTCAGCCGCACCGGCGACTTCGTCTTCCCCAACTTCCTCGAAGACCTCGAAGAAATCCTCGCCTACGGCGTCCGCGTAGCCCTCCTCTACGGCGACGCAGACTACATCTGCAACTGGTTCGGCGGCGAAGCCGTCTCGCTCGCCGTAAACTTTACGCACGCCGAGGCCTTCCGCGCCGCGGGCTACACTCCCTTTCTCGTCGACGGCGTCGAGTACGGTGAGGTGCGCGAGTACGGTAACTTTTCTTTTACACGAATTTACGAGGCTGGACACGAGGTGCCGTATTACCAGCCCCAAGCTAGCTTAGAGCATTTCAGGAGGGTCCTGGATCATGTGGTTATTGCGGATGGGAGTCAGGTGGTTACGAGTGGGTATGGCACGAATGGCACGGCGAAGGCGACGCATACCGAAGAGTTTGTGCCGTTGCCGCCTACGAGCACGCCGAGCGCTGTTAGCAGGGTGAGGAGGGGGTCCGCGTAGGGTTGGTGGCGGAGATGAGGTGGGGGAAGGAGGAGATTGTGGGGGTTTTGAAGGTATTGCTCTTTGAGTGTTGTATACTATGTTAATGACATGAAATGAAATAATTGAATCATGATTTTGGAGGAGGTGAACTTGACCCCCTGCTATTTGCATGGTTTTCCTTCTAGTGTATGTCTTCCTTGTCTGACCTTCGCTGAGCTTCTTTTTCTGGTATTGGTCCGTGTTCATCACTGTACCAAGACTTTTTACTTGGCAAATGAATTCCTTTTTAACTAACTCTCGGTCCGATCGACTGCCATTTACTCTTAGCTCTATAAACTCTATTGTGTATGTACGTCTGTTGTTGTTGTTCTTATCCATCTAACATAACATCTTTCGTTTGTAGTTACTCCACCATGATATTGTAACAAACCTCCATTCGCTTTCGCTGCTTGTTCTTATGTAAACCGTGTCTTGATGAATATTCTGGCGCCCGCTCTAGTGCTTGAGGCTCGTTATATCAATGCAACCTTATTCTTCTCCCCACCACGAACGTCAAGACTGTTCTTAGCTCTGTCTTGTGGGTGTTGTAACAAAACCCGGCTTCAATGTTAAGTCAAGCAAGACCGAGAACAGAGATGGTAGCAATGAGATCAGCGCCGCTAGACTTTTCTCTTCCTCTTTACGCGGTGGACAAAAATCTTGGGACTCCCAAATAGCTTGTATCTTATACCTATCAGCACCATCGACTCACAATTTTTTAATATTTTGAATAGAATAGAATAATACTTAAGAGTACAAGAGAGATGATAGACTAGAAATATTACTACCATTATCATACCGTTGTGCTGCTACAACCCTCTGAAGCTGCCGACTTTCTGGTGCGTTATCAATTTTCGTATAGTGGTGGCCTGTGTTGAACCCCGGAATTTTTGTCCGCTGGGTGCCTTTCTCACTGTCCCGCTGACGTGATGATCTGAGAATTGTCATTCCCCAGGGCCCTGATTGGTAGGCCCCCGGTTCCGGCTGGGTGTACTCATTGCAGAACATACTTCCATAGACTAATTAAAATCAATACTTCTTTGCGAGATCCTAGTTACTCATTCTTAGAAGAAACGAAATTGAAACACCCTCTGATGGATTTGTTTAGAGAAACTTTTCACCTTTGTACATTAAATCTATCTACTGTTCCTTCCCGTGAGAATGTATTGTTAATATGGATATCACACGCACCTCTCTACAATGTGTCCTATTGCTTCTCTCTTAACGCCAGCAATCATAGACTTATGAATGGCATATATGCGCAGGGAATTTTTCCTCGGAGACGCGGGATGCGTAGAGTCACTCTCGCCGTCTCACTCGAAGCAACAATTGCTAGCAGTAAGCAGCCGACCATTACGTCGATTACTCCACACTTTAGTGCTAGCGCTTACAGGTTGTAATAAACCCGGAACCTCTTTTCCAATGCAAGCAGGCCAAGCCTGCCTCAACAATGTCAGCCTCCTTAACGTTTCAGCAAACTTGTTTCCCAAAATTAAAGTTTCACGGCTCGGAAAAACATATACAATACGGTATACGCTACATCCGCATTACATCCGGGGGAGATCACTTGACCAAGGCATGAAATCGTATTCCTAATTATCTATACCTCTCAACTTTATTTCCGTTAAGGATCGTTCAATGTAATTGAATAGAGTTTATACAAGGGTCTAGCCCGCTTGAATACAAATGCTTCTAGTTGCTTTTATTGTACAGGCCGCATGGTTTTGAACTCGTAAAGGTCTTTACCCTACACTCATTTTGCGTTTGTCCGCTCTTTCTTGGTCTCTTTCTTGTTCTCCACCACTGTTCATTATGGGTTGGAAATCGTACCTTTTACCACTATTTCTGGGGGCTGTTGCTGGATTAGAACAGCCACAGGTTGTTCCAGGTGCTTACATTGTTGAATACGAAGACAACAGAGTGGGGGTAATGCTTGAACAAATAATTAAGTTAATGAATTATGCTAAACATTCTCAGCTACTCTCATCCACCCTTAACACTCTTGGCGTTGAAAAAGTGCTGGACTTGAACTACGATGTATTCAAAGGCGCCACTGTCGTATTCAAGGACAAGAAATCCTCTGATGAGCACATGTCTTCATTGATTTCAAATCCAGCTATCAAAAACGTCTGGCACAAGATGACAGTTTCTTTACCTAACCCTCGGGTCGGAAGCATTGCATCACCTGGGTTAGCAAGGTCATCCCGACTCGAGGCCAGAAATTTCCAAGGCAATCAAACATACTCACCTCACGTTATGACTCAAGTCGACAAGTTGCATGCGAAGGGATTCACTGGTAAAGGAATTATAATCGCAGTTGTTGACAGTGGTGTAGGTGCCAGAGTTGGTTATTATATAACTGCTAACCTTGGCCTAGGTTGATTACACCCACCCAGCCCTCGGTGGATGCTTTGGACCCGATTGCTTAGTTGCTAAAGGTTACGACTTCACAGGGGACGCGTATAACGGCACCAATACCCCTGTTCCTGATGATGATCCAATGGATTGTCTGGTATAAGCCTTTCTCTTAGAGCGCTGCGATCATAGGCTGAACATAAACTAGGGACATGGCACGCATGTGGCTGGTATTATCGCTGCCCAACAAAACAAATATGGCTTCATCGGGGCCGCCCCTGTAAGAACTCCTGAAAGGATCGTGAACTAATCGTCCTAATGTGTTTTCCTTAGGATGTCAAAATAGCAGCCTACAAGGTATCAGGGTGCTCCGAACGAGTTGGCAGTGATGACATCCTTGCAGCTGCCTTCATGCGCGCACAGCAAGAAGGGGCGCACATCATTACTGCCTCTTTTGGATCCCCTGGAGGATGGAGCGAGACTTTTATTGAAGTTATAGCTTCCCGGATTGTTGCTAAGGGCGTTATTTTTACCATCTCTGCTGGGAACTCTGCTGACCAAGGATTGTTTTACCCTAGTGACCCAACTGGAGGAAATGGTGTTGCTGCTATTGCTTCTTATGACAATACTGTAACGCCTGTACTGTTAACACAGTCTTCTTACTTGGTCTCAAACGAAACGAAACAGAGCTTTAAATGGGCTAAAGGTAGCCCGGACAATTGGAAAAACGCCAGTGGCCTGCCACTCTGGGCTCCAGCATTCAACACCAACGAGACTGAAGATGCATGTACACCTATTTCTGATAACACGACAGAATTTTCTAACAAAGTTATTCTTGTCTCTGCTGTTGATGACTGCGTTGACCAGTATCTGGATAACTTACTGAATCTCGAAGTCCCTTATATCATGATTTCGACCCAGCTAAATACCAGTGAAAGAAACCTCAATTTTCCGCCATCTCCAGGCCTACTAGGTATTGGTATGGTCTCTTCCACGGTAGGCACCAAGTGGTACACAGCTCTAGCCGCCGGAAAGGTTGTCACGTTGGATTTCACCGATCTCGCCACTAGCCCAGTCACGCTTGAACAGCCACCTAACAACCGTACTGGCGGACTTCTAAGCTCCTATACTTCCTGGGGACCTTCTTTTGAAGGCGAGCTAAGGCCTTCATTTGGTGCCCCGGGTGGGAACATCTTATCAACGTGGCCTGTTGCCTTGGGTTCTTACGCCGTACTGTCTGGTACCTCTATGTCCTGCCCCCTTGCTGCCGCTATCTACGCCCTTCTATTAAACGTACGGAAAACCTTCGACCCAATTGAGCTTCAAAACCTACTTGCCAGTACAGCTAAGCCTGTTCAATCCAGGGGAAGATCTTTAATTGCGCCACCCGCACAACAAGGAGCTGGACTGGTTCAAGCGTATGACGCAGCCTATGCAACTACAGTATTAAGCCGCCCGGGTCTTGCTTTCAACGATACTATTCGATTAACCAGCAAAACATTTACAATCTCTAATACTGGGGACAAGAACGTCACCTATGAGTTGGACGTTGTTAACGCCGCTACTGCTTACACATTCTCTGGTAGTATTAGGCCGGCTATACCCCCTGAGCTCGACAGTTCCTTCGCGAAAGTGGATCTAAGCAACTATAACGTTACCATCCCCGCAGGTGGAAAAACTACAATCGTTGTTAAGGCCACACCCCCGTCAGTTGATATTAGTCGACTCCCAGTATACGGAGGTTATATCCGGGTCAACGGTACAAACGGCGAAAGGTTATCTATTCCTTACCAAGGCATTGCAGGAGACCTTAATGCTGTAACTATTATGAACGGAACGTACCTATCAAACTCCAAGAGTGATCCCGACTATCGGCCCTTCAACAACACCAACTCGACTTTCATGTTCCCACAGGTCGATATCGCAGATATTCAGCTTATCACCGACGACCTTCCAGTTGCTGCTGTTGACCTTGTTTTTGGGACACCGCTTCTTAACATCCAAATCGTGTCAACTAGCAAACAGCTAGTTAATCTTGGTAACGCCGCGGGCTCGCCATTTAATTACACTAGCCGTGGTTTGTTTACCTACGGGTGGAATGGCCAACTGGATGATAACTCATTTGTACCACCGGGTAGTTACAAGTTCCGTGTTTCAGCGCTGCATATCTTTGGTGAACCAGACCAGCCGCAGGAATATGATGTTGCTGAGACGTCTTCTTTCAGGATTGCTTACAAATAGTGTCTGGTAGAGCGGAGGCAGTATGGGCGGTGCCTTGTACATCGGGCGGGACTACATTGCTACGTCCTTGTATGTATTGAGATAGGCGAGTCTAACATCATCATTTCGCGCCATTTTCTGGCGATTTCTTGCTTTACCCTTTCAACTTTTACTTTGTACTATATATACAGTTTTAAGAAATATGCTTCGCTTGTACTCTCAAAAGATATCGAAATTCAATCGCATGTTTTCACACGTATTTTGACATTGGTAGCTATAGGGCATGTTGAGATGGAATACTGGGAGGGGCTGAGAACTACGACTTGGTGTTCTATGCTAGATTCATCGAACCAATCAAGTAAGGTTTTTAGGATAATCGAATGCAATTTTGAGGGCGGCTGAGAGATGTGCCTTATTGTTGTTGCAGACTTCGCTATAGTGGACGCCTTCTGAGACTGCCAATGATGACGTTACCCGATCAGCCACGGACGGGCTTGGCGGCGGCATTCTACCTAGGCAAGGCGCACTCACCCTCAATGCTTTATATCCTCGCATACGACTGGCTACAGAACTTCGAAGCATGGCGCAGATCATCCTGGGTATCGGCCCCCACTGGCGGCCTGATTCACATGTAGCCGAAGGTGACTCGACGAACTTTCGCCTTAATATTAGCCTACCCTAGACATCCCCATAGTAGCCAGACGTCCATCAATGAACTTGGCCTTGCTCTACATCAAGAAGTGGTAATGTACGAATCGCTACGTCGCGCGACCGATGGCGGTAGAAATTCTAATGACATCGAGTTACTCCAGCCTCATGGGCATCGGTAAGGCTTTGAATGTTGCTTCACAGTCCCAACGCTCTCTAAACATTAGTTCAGACAAGGGTCTTCGAGTGCCCGAAGCAGCGATGACTATGTTATTGAAAGTCAACGCAGCCCGTCTTTCGTAAAGCTACTCCATTCTGCGAAGACCACCGAACAACTACCAGAATACAGCAGTCATCATGAAAGGCCGCCTAAAAAGGGATTTCTCCCCTCCGGATGGCGTACCGGCGCACTCATCTCATTGATCGGAGCAGTCATCGTCTTCGTATTCAACCTCGGCATCACCATCTGGGTTTGGGCAAATCCTAGTTTTCAGGCCAATGGTGCAATCGGCACAATGTATCGCGGAAACTGTGCGGTTGTCAGAAGCATGAATGTCAAGATACACCTACTTGTCAATGTAAGTGATTTGCTCGCATCTGAAACTATCTTGCTTACGACACAAGGTTCTCAGTACTATGCTGCTATGCGGTAGCAACTACGTTATGCAAGTTCTCGCAGCCCCGAACAGAGAAGATGTCGATCGCGCCCACGCTCAGCGCCGTTGGCTACATATTGGTGTCCCGAATTTCCGCAACTTGCGGTATATTCGGCGAGAACGCGCCATCATCTACATGTTTTTGTTCCTGTCATCGGTACCATTACACCTCTTGTTCAACTCGGTCGTTTTTACGCAGCTCCAGGCGAATGAATACTTCGTGGTACCTACTACAGAAGATTGGATTCACGGAGGAGAATATAATTTCGACAATTTCGACAATTTCACGGATATCGAAAGTTTGCGGAACAAAACTTGGATAAGTGATTTCGAGCCGTATCGCATCGAGATTGACGACACCGTAAAACTGAGAAACGGGACTACTGTATCCATGTATCAAAACATGACTACAGCGGAGTGTTTCAGCAAGTACGGTAGTCACTACGTTTCAGACGTTGGTAATATCTACCTAGTCCAAGCACAGCCAACAATATGGAGAAACCCCGAGAAATGGGAACTCCGCCGGTTAGAACTGGGAGGTTTTGAATGGGCGCAAATCACAAACGATTCATCGACCCTGGACGACAAGGATAACAGCTACCAGCGAGTGGAATTCAACGTTACCCTTCCCTTTCCAAGCTCACCGCGCAGATACCCATCTAATGTATGGCGATGTCAGTCACACACATCAACAGGATGTAAGCGATACCTCATGCGTGTATGATTCCAAAAATGATGCTAACGAAACTGCATTCATTAGGCGACCCAGGCGACGAAAGTGAGATCCCACGGGATAGATGGCAATGGAAGCCATACGGAAGCGATCTATCGTACTGTCTGATTGAACAGGTCGAAGAGTTCTGCGAGCTACAATTCAGCTTTGTGATTGCGATTCTGGTTATCATATCCAACTTGGTCAAGGCCACTTGTATGGCTGTCACCCTTTGGAAATGCGGAGGTCATGCCGCATTCGTAACGATTGGGGATGCCATTGCCAGTTTTCTTGACAACCCGGACCCCTCGACGAGCGGACGCTGTCTGCAAACCCGGCGCCATGTGGAGTTGTGGTGGGATTGGAATCAATGGGCCATGGATAACTCAATTATTGCAATGAAAAGAGATCGCAGAAGGTTCAGGCCAAGAAGGCGTACATGGGCAATGGCGCCTAGCGAAAGGAGATGGGTTGCTACGTACTGGTCGTAAGTCTACTTTTCGCCCTCTTGAAACAAACAAACTCATTTTATTTCCTCTACAGTTACAGTGCCTTGTTCGTGGCTGGCATTCCCCTAACAGTGCTAGCGTTGAAAAACATGCCCCGAAACCCTAAAAGATTGTGGGAAACTGGATTTGGCATCATCCAAGGCAACAACTTACTCAACTTTGACACTTCGCTCATGGGCGGTGTACTCCTCGCCAATACGCCCCAAGCGCTTCTTTCCTACATGTATCTCGCTTTCAATGCGCTCTATACAACCATGTTCATCTCATCGGAATGGGCAAGTTACAGCGTTCAGCGAAAGCCCTTGCGTGTCACATCGCCTGTAGGCCAACAGCGCCATACGTACTGGCTCGGCGTGCCGTACCGCTACGCAATACCAGTGACACTGGTGTCCGGTCTCTTCCACTGGCTTGCTTCGCAAAGTCTTTTCAAAGTACAGATTTCCGTCACCGACATGTATACACGACAGGTCAAGGACCAGATTTCGACATGCGGATACTCACCCGTCCCTATCATGCTGACAATGGCGGTTGCGACTGTTATTGCGGGATCTGGCATTGCTATGAGTAGGATACGTTTCCCGTCAGGTATACCCCTGACGGCTAGCAACTCAGCGGCTATCAGTGCTGCATGTCATCCGCCGAAAGAAGATGTCGATGCAAGTGTCCTACCGGTGCAATGGGGTGCGGTTAGCCGTGAGTACAATCAGGAGCTTAGCGATGATGAGCATATTGGGCATTGTTGTTTTACCAGTTTTCCAGTTGAGCCTCCGGTTGAAGGGAATTTGTACCAATAGAGCATCAGTTTGTCTTCATCTAGCACCGACATGACGATCCGAATAAAGCCGAACCTCGGAGCGAAAATCATAAATATGTTCCATCATCTCCCATTCTATCCTTCCCTCTCCACAAACCACATCTCCATCGGCACCTCCCACGCCTTCAACCCCTCAATCGCCCCTTTGAACTCATCCGTAGCAACCAATTCCTCAAAACACCCCATCCTCTCCCACCCCCTCACCACAAAAAACCCCACCGCTTTCCCGCCCTCAATCTCACCCTCGTCCGCCTCTTCCTCGTCAACCCCCCACCCAAACGCCACACCCCCATTTCCCCGCGCAACAGCCACGCACTTTTCGTCAAAAACCCTAAAATCCCGCTCAATACCCCTGCGAAACTCCGGCGTCGCGCGCGCAACCGGAAAGAGTACTTTCACGAATTCGACGAGCGGGGAAGCCATTGCGCCTTTTTCGCTGAAATTCGGGGTGCCATTGGAAAAAGCTACGTGGTGCGTTTTTTGGGGCTGGCCGAGGGTGGAGAAGATGGTAGATAGATAAGGGGTCGTGGGTGTGAGGGAGGAGGTTGCGGCGTTGATGTCCGGGTGGGAGGAGGTTAGTTGGAGGGTTGTTGGGGGGTGGATGTGGGTGCCTAGGGAGTAGTTTTGTGGGGGTTTGGACTGTTTGAGGGTGAGGAGGGTGGAGTTCGGGGTGGTGGGTGGGAGGGTCAAGGTTAGGAGTTGGGTTATTGACATTTTGGTTGTGGGTGGAATGGGAGGTTTTGGAATGTGTTGAGGGGAGGGGTTGATGTCATAGTTCTATGCTGGTTTTTATAGATAGATTCTGGGGTTTGTGATGATATGCTCGAGAGTCATGGTGGTGAGTTCGGGATGCGTGGACAGCGAGCTTGGTAATCGATATTATTCAGCTACATGGCCAAGAGTATGAAGGCATGGCATTGATGGTCAAGCTACCTTTTTCTCTGCCTTTGCATTTTTGGAGAAACTCTTGTAATGCATTCGATATGCACAAGCGATTCTGTACACTTATATCCTCATTTCCAGTCTGTGCTATGCGCGTTTTCCTACAACAAGCTATACACGATGATCGCTTCGCGCTAACATGAGAAACGGCAATCCGCTGCTCATCCCCATACGACACTGACTCGTTGCAAGCGGGATTGCGGAGCGTCCCACATGTGACACGTCGGCATACGCATATCTCGTACATTCCCATCCCGCTGTTGCATAAGTTCGTGGTGGAGACACGGAAATTCTCAACAGAGGCAGAATGCGTTTGCGCGAAAGCCGCAGGATTTGCTAGCCCCAATTCGGAAGTCTATCCTTTGTTGCAAAATGCCAAGACATGCCTGGTGATGTCATCGTCAGAGTGGCAAAAGCGCAGACTTGGAGGAAGAGAAAAGTGCGGTGAGCACGAAGATTTTGTGCAGAAGGGATGCATGCATCGTGTGTAGTCGAAAAATGTGTGTTGAGTCGTGTTATCTAATTCTATAGATCGTTCGTTGCATCGTAAGTTGGCAACAAGAAAAGAAACTCCAAACCCCATGTAAATGCATGACTCGCTTGCTTTTTAAACAAAGTGGTAGAATAAGCCTCTACTATGGCTACCGTAGACAGATATATGTTTCAAATAAGCTCTCCAACCCAAAACAACTACTCTAGAAACTGAACAGACCCGACCGCCTCTTGCCAAGAGGGTACACAATGAGCGCGGCAAGGAAAAGGCCAACGGTGATACCAATGGCAATTTGCACGACTGAGAAACCGACGTCGAGTGCGATGGAGTTGATGGAACTGCCCATGCCAACATCGGCACCGCTGATTGTCGTAGCGTTGCCAGTACTGTTGCGCACGATTTGATCAGCGGATATCAGGCCAGATACAAGCGACCCTTGAACACTGAGACCAGAGGGGACTTGAACAAAGATGGCGGGCAACATTGCAGCAGCGGCCAACCCGTAGCCAATCTTGCGGGTGTGAGGCGTGAACTCGCTGATGGAACTAGCCCTTGAAGTGTGGCCGCTGCTGGTGTGTGTATGGTCGTAAGTTGATCGCTCCACCTTGTGGGTGCGAAGCGGTCCGTGGCTCTTCCTGAGATACATCTTGCGGAACTTCACAAAGTGAGGCCGCATCTTGATCTCCCACGTATCAAGGCACCAGTTCTCAATGTGACGACCAAAACGAGCATGCACATTGGCGGCAATACCGATGGCAAGAGCGCCCAGGGTGTTGCTGACTTGGGCGTTGTTCTTGAAGTACTTGGAGCTCTGGAAGTTGACTATCCATCCAATAAACGCAATGACGGTCATCGAAGGCATCTGCTTGTACTTGGCCTGGTTGACAATCTGAAGGCAGATCGCGAATGCGGGAACGAAAAGATAGTAGAAGTTTGTCGACATTGGGTCGTGGCATGTTGTGCGCGAGGTTGCGTTCTTGTCCATCATTCCGTACAAGACGGTACCGATCGTGATGCCGAATCCCAAAAAGAGGGAGTAGATGATTGCGTAGACCATGCGAACTGAGCCAGCGACAATGTGCTTACTCTGCAACTCGAGCGAGGCACAGAGAACCATGAAACCAGGTAGGATAAGGGCAATACTGGACTGCGCCATGGCACTGAAGCAAAAGATCTCTTTGCCATCGTGACGGATGGACCCAAGAGCCCGTGCCGCGAAACTGGTGATGACTGATGCGCCGATTTCGAAGACGTTGCTAATAAGATCATTGCCTGGGGCGACGACTAGTTGCAACCATCCAATGATGCAACCAAGCAGGAAGCAAAAGGGAAGATCGATGAACCGAGCCTGGAAGGCAAACGGCCCGACGGTGGCGGATGCCAACCCATACAGCAGTACCCTAAGCCACTTGTTGAACTTGGCCTTGCGATTTATGATGGCATCAAGACGTGGTATAGCTTCTTCGACATTGATACGGTCGTGAACGACATCTTTGTAGATTTCATGCACGTCGCGAAGCTTGCCCAGGTCGACACCCTGACTGGTACGAACAAGCTTGACTTCACTAGTGTGGACCGAGGAGTCATCAAAGGCGATGATCATGCAGCCCGGCATGTACAAGAACTGTGCCTCAATCTCCAAGACACGAGCAGACATGCTCAGGTACTCTTCCAGACGATGTGTAGGCGCACCATACATCATAAGTGCCTTGCAAAGCTTGCGAAGATAGTTCTGGCGCGCCAAGGTACCAGCAAGATGGATCTTGATCCTGATCTCTTCTTCCTTTCTCCTGTTCCTCTTGAACGGCAATATGGAATCGTCCGATTTGGACCGTTTTCCCATGCCAGGGCGGGTCTTCTTGTATTGTTCATCCAACTCCTGGCCGAGCTCTTTCTGCGCAGGGGTGGCAAAGCTGTGCGCCGATGCTCCAACCAACTGAGAGACGGACGCAACTGATTGATTTTGATGATGATTTCGGAACCAAGAGCGACCTCCACGTGGAGTTGAATATCCGGAGACAGGCGGTGAGGGGCTCGGGGAGTTGGCTGCAGTCGACGCGCCGCTGAATGTGCCGGTACTGAGACTTCGGTGAAGAGTGTTCTTGCGAGCTGGAGGGGCTCCGGCGTTGCTTGACATCTTCATCAAGGTACCAAGCACTCCTGTGCGGTATTTGGTGGGTCGAACCACACGCTCGTCTTCGACTTCCAGCGCATCCGGTGTGACCTGACCGGATTGAAGTGGAGTTTTGACGTCGTGGTAGAGGTCTTCTGGGATCAGTGGAGGCTGGTTGTTGGCTTCTCGAATGGTATGTTGTCGAAGGATCATGGAAGCACGCTTCATGAAACGAGGATCGTCCTCATCATCATCGGTTGTTTCTCCCACTGACTCATGCTGCTGTGACATGCTCTGGAGCTCAACCGATGGTGAGGCGAGCTCGTTGGAGTTACGTCGTGATGCAGGAGCAGAGTATGTACCGACCGACTTGGATAGTCTTGCTGCACGGCGTTGTGCTGCAAGGCCAGACCGCTCTTTGAGGTCTTGCCCTATTGAGGGCTGCCTGGATGGGACATTCTCGTCAAAGGGATTGGGCTGGTCATTGAGGTAGAACTCTGGTGGAGGTGTTCGAGGGCCAGGTTTCCGTATAGCTGGACGAGGCCTCTGTACATCCTTTGATGTAACAGGTTCCTGAATGACTTCCTCAGGAAGGTTTTCGTTTCCAAGGGCTAGTCGTAGCGAAGCCCGGATCTTTTGGAGGTCGTCATGTGATACATCTGAGCGTTCGAGAGGCGTATTGTGCCCCGCAGAGCCAGTGTCTTCGGGCGATTGGACTGAGCGACTAGCAGAGGGTTCTGAGCTCCAGCCTACACGCTTCCTGCCAGGCGTGGCAGACATTTGTTCTTCTGATTCGGGGTGGTTCTGGCGAGAGGGGCCAGCATCGTGAAAGGGGTTCATGGTGTTTTGTATGGTTTGGGCACTGCTGTGAGACTAGTTGGGCACTTCAGGACGGACCACTCGACTCGCAGTAATCTGTAACGCGCCGAGTTCCGTTATTAGGCGCAGATAACGTTGCACATATTGATTTGTGCGCATAAGATGTATTTTCGGCGATTCTCAAAAGCCAATCTGTGGTCCAGAACCGTTCACGCACTTAGCGGTGGATCTCCAATGAATAGTGCGTGCGGGTATCAGTGAATAGCTTAGCAGGCAGGTACCGTCGCTTGGACTTGGTATACTAGGGATATGCCGGGTAATGATCAATGAGAAAAATAAATGCAGGACTGGGATATCATGGCAGTGTGTGACTGGGAAAGTACCCCTTCAAAGGTGTGTGGGATTGATAAGAGCCGCTAGCGCGGGGGCGTCCGGCAAGCGTACGAACGTCAAGCTGACAAGTTAGAAACTTCTCAAGTTGTGTAGTGGCGGACAGACCCAATTTTTCTTGTCGAAACACAGTGGCCAGAATGTTCGGTGTTGGGCTCAGCAACATGACAAAAGTTAGGTGGAGCCAGCGCTACAGGGGACCTTGCACTTCGGGAGCACCAGCACTAAGATGTCGACAGGCACCAAAACCACATAACAAGCAAAGGCCAAGATCCCTGAGAATACTGCAGCGGGAGCGGACAGCACTGGCGTCGGATTTATTTTAGGGGGAAACCGACGCGAGGTCCGGAAATGACGATGACTCTGTCGGTGAAAAAGGGTACTTTGAGTATCTTCTTGGCGGATCTGCAGAGTGAAAAGTAATCTAGTAGATCATTTGACGACAATTTACTATGAGCAGTTGGAAGAGGAACAACTGTGCCTAGCATAGGATTGCACAATGTTTGATAAATGTCTCTTGACTGACGACACCGGACGGAGCGCAGATACCGCAATGGCCAGGATTTTCATGCATGCATTTCAAGGGTGGTAGCAGAAAAGTGGACTCATTGTGCCAAAGCTTGGGAAAGGTCTAATGAGGAAAACCGAGATAAGGAGAGAGTGGGTATAACTGGGTCTGCCCAAGCCTGGCTGTACTCTTTCGCCCAATGGTTACAAATCTAGGGGCAGCGTGGGAGCGGGCTTTAAAGCGCCGTAAGAGAACATCAGTGGAGCGGCAGTGCCGTCTCATCGATCGAGAACGTGCGGAGCCGCACTGCTGTTTATCCTGAGTCCAGGGCGGCGACAACAATAAGAAGAGCAGGATTATGTTGAGGGCGGATGGAGAACTCTGCACGATTAGTTCTTTGGCGCCGAGCTGTTGATGGTGCTATCGGAGGGTGGCAAACAAGAGGCTGA